ACATCTATTCCAATTTCACCTAAAAACATTGTCCTCTTGGAAATGTCACCATGCTCAATCCTCACAAATAATGTGACTTAAATAGATGCTCTGACAAGCTGTGGTGGTACATGTCTTTAATATCAGCACCTGGGAGATAAAAGCAGGTCAGATCTACATACTGAGCTCCAAGCCAGCCAGGGCTACAGAGATTCTGTCACCAAAAAAATAAATTTAAAAAAATTTTAAAGATACAACACATACACACACATACACACACACACACACACACACACGTCCTTAATCTCACACAGTCACAGGTGAGAGTGTGTACTTATCCAATGCTATATCAACCATAACACTCACCCTGATGGTCAAAGTTGACCTATGTATATAGAAAAGAATTTGACAGAGCCTGAGTCAATCACAGTCTCCCCCTGCCCCCAGATTTTTCACTTTTTTATTGTTTTTATTAACCTGTACGTTTTTTCTCTCCTCCCCTCCCTTCCTCCCTCTTCCCCTCTATGCTCTACCAGGGCCCCCATGATCCCAATTTACTCAGGAGATCCTGTCTTTTTCTCCTTCCTATGTAGATCCATGTATGTCTCTTTTAGGATCTTCTTTGTTGTCTAGGTTGTCTGGGGTTGTGGACTATAGGTCATTTTTTTTCTTTGCTTTATGTCTAGAAGCCACTTATGAGTGAGCACATATTGTATTTGTCTTTCTGGGTGTATGATTTTTTTCTAGATCCATACATTTGCATGCAAATTTCAATATGTCATTTTTTACTGCTGTGTAGTACTCCATTGTGTAAATACTTGGTTATATACCCAGGAGCAATATTGCTGGGTCTTGAAGTAGATTGTTTCCTAATTTTCTGAGAAATCACCATACTGATTTCCAAAGTGGCTGTACAAGTTTTCCCTGCCACCAGCAATGGAGGAGTTTTCCCCTTATCCCATATACCATCAAGTATAAGCTGTCATCAGTGTTTTTGATCTTGGCCGAATATTCTGACAGGTATAAGATAGAATCTCTCAGATGTTTAGATTTGCATTTCTCTGATGGCTAAGGATGTTGACCACTTTCTAAAGTGTCTTTTAGCTTCATCTGAGATTTTTATTTGAGATTCATCTATTGAGAGTTCTCTGTTTAAGCCCCATTTTTTATTGGATTATTTGTTCTTTTGATGTCAAGTTTCTTGAGTTCTTTGTATATTTTAGAGCTCAGCCCTCTGTCCAATGTGGGGTTGGTGAAGATCTTTTCCCATTCTACAGGTTGCCATTTTGTATTGTTGACCATGCCCATTGCTTTATAGAAAATTCTCAGTTTCAGGAGGTCCCATTTATTAATTGTTACTTTCAGTATTTGTACTACTGGGATTATATTTAGGAAGTAGTCTCCTGGCCAATGTGTTCAAGTGTACTTCCCACTTTCTCTTCTATGAGGTTCAGTGTGTGGTTTTATGTTGAGGTCTTTGATCCATTTGGACTTCAGTTTTGTGCATGGTGATAGACATTTTGCATTCTTCTACATGTTGAATCCAGTTATGCCAGCAACATTTGTTAAATATGCCTTCTTTTTTCCATTTTATATTTTTAGCTTCTTTGTCAAAAATCAGGTATTTGTAGGTGTGTGGATTGATATCGGGTTTTCAATTCGGTTCCACTGGTCATCCTGTCTGTTTTTATGCCAATGTCAGGCTGTTTTCATTACTGCAGCTCTATAACACAGTTTGAAATCGGGGATTGTAGGACCTCCAGAAGTTCCTTTGTTGGACAAGATTGTTTTGGCTATCCTAGTTTTTTTGTTTTTCCATACGAAGTTGAGTATTGTTTTCGCAAGGTCTGTGAATTTTGCTAGGATTTTGATGGGCATTGCACTGAATCTGTAAATTGCTTTTGGTAAGATTGCCATTTTTACTGTGTTACTTCTACCAACACAAGAGCACATGGGAGATCTTTCCATTTTCTGGTGTCTTCTTCAATTTCTTTCTTCAGAGTATTAAAGTTCCTGTCATACAAGTCTTTTGCTTGTTTGGTTAGAGTTGCCCCCAAGATATTTTATGTTATTTGTGGCTATTGTAAAGGGTGATATTCCCCTGATTTCTTTTTCAACCCATTTATCATCTGTATACAAAGAGCTACTGATTTTTCTAATTTCAGAGAAGTGTGACATTTGTCCGGTGGCGACAGAATGGGGCGTTTTAAAGCATGTGAGTGGCTCGCACTCCACATGTCCTGACATGCATGGCAAAAAAAAAAAAAAAAATTGTACAAAGATGCAGATAGAAGCGAACATAGCATCAAAGAGACAGCTGGTCCTGGCTCTTCGTGACAGCGAACATGGCATCAGAGAAAAGGCTGGTCCTGGTTCTTCGTGAAGGCGAACACAGCATCAGAGAAAAGGCTGGTCCTGGTTCTTCATGAAGGCGAACATGGCATCAGAGAGAAGCCTGGCCCCGGTTCTTAATGACAGCTGCCAAGCTGCTGCGCCTATCATGGCTCCATCCTAAACCCTCCAATGAATTTACAGACCTAGGTAAATTCAAGCTATTTTCCTATAACCTGTAACCAAGGGGATTTGGCACGCAGTACCAAACAAACTCCAAGGTAATAAACTGCACTTGTTAAGCGTAGAGCTGGGAATGATGCAGGCATTACTAATGCACCTGGTAGAGCTGGGAATGATGCAGGCATGACTAATGCACCTGCAGAGTCAAGTGTATCTGTGTAAGGCTAATAACAGTCAGCTGAATGGCATCTGGGAATGACATGACTTAATGCTTTCTTCTTTGCCTTCCTCACTAGGGATAAACTTTGTTCTTCCACAAAACAATCAATGTCTTGTGAGCAAAAATCATACTTCACATATTTTAATGAATGCCTTTGGTGTTCCCCACCATAGCCATAACTATATGCTCTCAGTAGGAACACGTTGAGCTAAAAGTATGAAGATTAGGATACTATGATATAATCCCCTGGAATATCATTAGATTCCAAGTAAGGAAGTCTTGTATTCTACAGAAAAAAAAAAATCCTTCTGTAGATAGTGGGAGTTGTGTAGCAAAAGAACACTAAGAACACTGGAGAAAATCATTATTAATCTGATTATTACTAAAAGGTCCTAGGGCTCCAAAAAGGATTTGGTTGGCTGAGAAGAAGCCGGTTTTAATCTGAAATGATAAATCTGACTCAAAAGCTCTACAAAGCAGATCTACCTTTCCCCCTGGGGATTATCTCTAAGACAAGGCTGCTAGGAATTGAAAACAAAAGAAATAAAACATAAAGACCAAGCCTTATTAAATGTTTTCAACTGCATTTATAAACAAAGGCAGATACCTATGAGTCATATGCTTTGCATGCTGCTGTGTGTGTTAAAACATTTCTTTCATCAAATTAATAACCAAATTTACTGGTGGCCTGCTGTGGAAGGAACTGGAAATGGATGGTTTGAGGTCAAGATCATCTGACCAAGAGGAGGGCCTAAGGACCCCTCAAATGAAGGAAGAAAAGCAAACATAAACACAACCTAGCATTACACTAGCCTCCCCCAGAGGCCTCAACCTAACAGTCAGCTGACCTCCACACTGAGGAAAGGGTCTGATTTTTTAACACCATAATTATGTTGGAATACATCCATCCTTATTCCTTAAAACTGGTGCTTTAACTAGTTCTAAGCAAAACAAAGAGAAAAACCTAACTAGATTACTAGAATCTTTTGGAAGTCTATATATTCACTTAACGTATTTATTTGACAGAGATATTTGGCGCCATGCGTGACCTTAATACATGCTGATGACAACTAAGAAAAATCCTGCTACAAAATGCGAGCTGCTCAGCTGCACAAAACTTCTCACCAAGTAAGCTTCTAAACACCAGTTCCTCAATAAAACCTCCGCTGAGTTACTCCACAAAATTATTTGTACGAAATTTCTGGGCATCTCCACTCCAAGGCCCTTCCACTATAAACTGTATTTAATATTTTTACTCAGTGTGGGCTGACAAGACGAGTCAGCAGATAAAAAATGCTTGCTGAGCTAGCCTGGCTCCAAGAATTCAATCCCTGAAACACAAATGAACTCATACTCCATAAAATTATCTTCCGACCTCTATATATGCACTATAGTTATAGCATGCACACACCTGAACACACACACAAAATAAAAATAAAAGCTAACTTAAAATTTTTTAATGCAGTTTTAATCAGTAACTCACTTAAAGACCATATTGGAATGTCTGGAATCAAGAATCACTTACATAGACTTTCTGACAAACTGAAACACATTAACTGAGTCACTGAATCTAACCTAAACAAAAGTATACTGTTTTGATTTTGGGTGTTTTGGTTTGGTTTGGTTTGGTTTGGTTTGGTTTTTCAAGACAGGGTTTCTCTGTGTAGCCTTGGCTATTCCTGAACTGTCTTTCTAGACCAGGCTCACCTCGAACTTGCAGAGATCTGTCTGCCTCTGCATGGGAATAGAGGTGTGCACCACCACTACCTGGCTAATTTAGTCTTAAACAGGTGTTTAAATGTAGACATAGTCATAAAAAAAAAAAACACCATTTAATACAAAGTCTCCATTTGTAATTCACAGAAAATTCAAAGTACAGACCCAGAGGCCTACTTGGCAGTTACTTCTGTTCATCTCGACTCTAATTATAATAATAGTTATCAGGAGCCTTTAAAAGAAAGTTGGGGCCAGGCAGTGGTGGCACACGCCTTTAATCCCAGCACTCGAGGCAGAGGCAGGTTAATTTCTGTGAGTTTGAGGCCATCCTGGTCCACAAGAGCTAGTTCCAGGAGAACTAGTTCTAGCGCCGTTACACGAGAAACCCTGTCTCAAGAAAACCACAAATTTGGAAAAGAAAAAAAAAGTTGAAAAGGTGAAACTTCAGTTTCAATGTCTCTTTGGACCCTCTCGGGACGCAGCACAGAAACACTAGGGTGAGCTCTTATTCCCAGTACGCGAGAGACAAAGGAACACGGGCTTTACAGAACAAAGCGGAACTTGTGCTCACCTGCATCGAGGCTCCTTCCACTCGCGCCACGCAGGCGACCCGATCCAGGAACGTGACTGCCACAGGCACTGCCACAAAGAAGCCTTTACAGAAGGCCTTGAAGTATCTTCTCAGCCAACCTTGGGACTGTGCCATACCTAGGTACACAAGGACAATCAGCAGAAAATTAGCCAAAAGAAAACAGATAAACAAAGTCGCCAAAACCATATAGGGAAACACAGGAACTGGCTGTACCGTGACTCTGTGGCAGAGCATGGGCTTAGCACCCACAAGGCCCTGGGTTTGATCCTAAACATCATAAAAGAAGAGAAAACTTAGCTAGAGCATGGCAACCCTGTTTTGTAGCATACTTCAGCCCCATGCCTAGAACTAGTAGGTAAGTGTGCCTTAAGGCCCAAAGGGAAATGCATGAACTGGGATTATGTCTTTTCAGCTTGTCTTCTTAGAAACATTGGTGAAAAAACTAGAAACACAACAATTCTAAAGGTAAATCCTTTCTGCTGCTCTAACCGTAGAGAAACCCAATCTAATTTCCCTAATAGAAGTTCAGTGAGATGTGTTGACCCAGCTGAAAGCTCCTTCTGAGCCTCTCTGACTAGTGTGACCATGTTACGAGGTGTGGTCAATGCCATCAGCAGGTATTTCAAATTCCCGGAGTGCACCCTCCAAAGCAGCGTACACTGCTCTCTCTCCATGCTCTGGACAGAAGGGCAACACTGCCGTGGTGGAACACTACACTCTACCAGGCACTGTTTCTGTTCTCCATCCCCCCATAGTACACTCTTACCCAAGCACAACCCCGAGGGAGTCCATGCACTAAGGAAAACCGGTTCACATCACGTCACGGTGGGGACTCTATGGGAAAAACGATGTGAGAACCACCAAAACCAGGCCGGCTCTAACGGACTCTGCTACCTCCTCTCTTCCTAGACAGAATTCACGGAGTGGCGCCCTCCCGGAGAAGTTATAAACATAGTGCCCATTTCTTTCACCCGCCAGGACTAAGAGGAGGTGGGATTGATCTGAGAACCTGACCCCCAGAGCCTGCTCTTCACTGCTTACTGGGGAAAAATAATCCTATCTCTTCGCTTAACCTGTGTGGTTATTGGCTCTGCTCACGACCTGAAGAAGCAAGATTTTGTTGTGCAAAAATTGGTTAGGAGTAGAAACAAAAATAGCCATTTAGGCTGAAAGACACTTAAGGAAATGCTCAACATCATTAGTCATCAGAACAACTCTGAGACTCCATCTTACACCTGTAAGAATAGCCAAAATCACAAACACTGATGACAGCTTATGCTGGAGAGGCTGTGGGGTAAAGGGAACACTCCTGCATTGCTGGTGGGAGTGCAAACTGGTACAGCCCCTTTGGATATCAATATAGCAATTTCTCAGAAAATCAGGAAACAACCTTCCTCAAGACCCAGTAATAACACTTTTGGGAATATATCCATAGGGTGCTCATTCATACCACAAGCATTGTTTGTCAAAGCCAGAACCTGGAAACAACCTAAATGCCCCTCAACTGAAGAATGGATAAGGAAAATGTGGTACATTTACACAATGGAGTAATACATAGCAGAAAAAGATAATGACATCTTGAAATTTGCAGGCAAATGGATGGGGCTAGAAAACATCATTATGAGTGATGTAACCCAAACCCAGAAAGACAATTATCATATGTACTCCCTCATAAGTGGATTTTAAACATAAATCAAAGAAAACCAGCCTACAGATCACAATCCCAGAGAACCTAGACAACAATGAGGACCCTAAGAGGAACACACACAGATTTAATCTACATGGGAAGTAGAAAAAGACAAGATTTCCTGAGTAAATTGGAACCATGGGAGAGGGTTGAAGGGGAGGGGAGAGGAAGGCAGGGGCAGAGAAAAATGTATAGCTCAATAAAATCAATTAAAAAAGGAAAAAACAGCCATTTCAAGCTATAAATTAAAACTATTAAGACTGCCAAATAACAAAATAAAAAGGCCTAAGCCCCCACACTAGCAGCTTAACTGTCTGACACTATTTTCACCCAGGAAATATGCCACTTCCTATCATCTTAAAAATGGTGCTAGAAAATGAGTCCTGATACAACAAGGAAGTCTATGACAGATAGGGATAGAAATCACTGCCTGAGAATTCAAACCACAAGCATCCTTCCCCTGCCCTATAACCACGTGATGAACAGGTTTTCTAGGGTTCAGGAGACTCCCCCTCGCTGCCTCATACAATGAAACCTAATGAGTGAGACGCCATCCTGTTAGGACAAATGGAAGTAGTCGTGCACACCAGGAACACCCTGCGGAAAAGGAAAACTCACATTCTTCGCTGCTGCATTTACACAAGATCCAGGCACAGCGCCCGGCCAGAGGCATAGGCAAAGGAGGAGGATGGGAGAGTGACAGGGAACGCCTGACATTTTTCTTTTTAATATAATCATGAGGCTCCTTCGGCCCTAAGCCTACAAATCAAGCTTGCTTCCCAGGAAACTTAAGGTTTCTCGTCCTCCTGAGAGTGGGTCCAGAAAAGGTGAGAAAAGCAATTAGACCAAGTGTCTGCCAGGATGGCACAGGCCAAGACTTCATTTTGACTTTTCCTTTTAAGTTCCCAAAAGCCACACACACACACACACACACACACACACACACACACACACACACCATAAAAATGATAAGAAGCAAAAACTAGGTAAGGAAGCTAGAAGTGTTCTGGTTTGTGTGGAAACTGGACCCGCAGGACCACGTTTTAGATGCTGGCCCCAGTCAACAGGGCTGTGTGGGAAAGGTTGTAGTTGATGAAGGTTCGGTCTCCACTCTGCTGCCTCTGCCCCACGACAAGAGCTGTTCCACCCATCCCAGTGCACCCTGAAACTGAGAGCGGAACAAATCTTTCTGCCCTTGATGTTGAAGGTCACTAACACGAGAAGGAAAGAGGACCTGAGAAATTCGCATGATGAAAAAGAAGGGAAGGAGGCCAAAGGGGAATGAGCATTAAGAACAGGAACTGGAACTGGAGGCGAGAAAGGGTAATGGGTGAATGTGTTATATATACGCATGAAAATGTACGATGAAGCCCAAAATTGCATATTAATTAGTATATATTAATAAAGAGCATTTAAAAACCAGAAAAGTAACAATCAAATTCTTTCCATATACTTATTTCTCAAGATTTTCTTTGGCAAACTATATAATTTTAAAGAAAAATTTTAAGACTTAACTTAATTATTGACTTGTTCTGCATATGAGAGAGGAGGGTGTGCACACACAGGCAAGTGCCCATGAGACCAGGGGCACCAAAATCCCTGAAGCTGCAGTTACAGGTGGTTGGGATCCACCTGATGTGGGTGCAGGGAGCTGAAGGCAGGTCCTATGGAGGAGCGTATGTGTCTTCCACGAGCCTTCTCCCTAATCCCTGGGCCACATCATTCAACCACGACATGTAAGTCAAGAAAGAGGAGCTTGTGAAGAAAGAACTTTGCTGTGTATAAGACAAAAGCTGATGTACTTATGGAGCTATTGTTCAGTCCAAGAATCTACTTCATTTTATCTTGAAGGAACTGTTCCCTCAATCTGAGATTGCTAGAGAGACCTGTGGATTGAGAGCCTGTTGTTTTTCAGACGGCAGCAGAACATTCTCCAGTTACCCACCCAGGGCAATGGCTCTCAAACACTGGCCACACGCAACATGAAGAAACACTACTTCCAAACCAGTGGTCCTCACACACACGCACATTTATACAAACACACACACCAAAGGAAGAAGCAGCTGAGTCCATTATCTTTCATTAAAACAAAAGACAAGTGAGTTCAAGGTGAGTTCCAGTCTAGACGGGGTTAGATAGTACAGCCCTGCTCCGTGAACAAAAATGAACTGTTAGGTACAAATAAATAAGGTGTTTTCTATCATATACTCAAGGCTCTTTTCATTTATCTCCACCTAGCTGGTATATGGATATCTTAATAATAAACTAACTTTAATAACCTTAATTATACCACAAAAGGGAAACTACCTGACCTGGACTAATTCTTGTATAATAATTGTAACTGAGAGTGATATATATATATGTGTGTGTGTGTGTGTGTGTGTGTGTGTGTGTGTGTGTGTGTGTATGGTTAAAAATGAAGACCAGCAAAGTTTTTGCCGTTTTCAATATATATTTCATAATCCTAACATTCACCCCAACCTGCAATCTGTTATATCAAACTGAAATAAATGTAACTGCAGACTGTCTTTAGAAAATAAGCAATTTAAAAGACATGTGTTCATTCCAACTAATCTACCAACTGTAATATTAAGTAAAATTATGTATGAGTCCCTACATCTGGTACCCAAGAAAGGTGTCTGGCCCAGGATGCCGAATGTTTCTACCAGCAGCCTCATTATTGCATCGATGAAACCAGAAGTCCATTCGACACGTTTCATTCATTCAGACCCAACTGCAATGTGAGCCCTTAATAAAATTAATTTCTCTTCTGTGGTGTACTTCATCTATAATTCAAATAAATTTGCTAACTCCCTTATACACACTGACAATATATGTAATATACATTTCTTTTCTTTCCTTTTCTTTTTTTGAGACAAGGTTTCTCTGTAACTTTGGAGCCTGTCCTGGAGCTAGCTCTTGTAGACCAGGCTGGCCTTGAACTCATAGAGCTCTACCTGCCTCTGCCTCCCTAGTTCTGGGATTAAAGGCGTGCGCCACCACCGCCAGGCTTTTAATCTAATTTTCAACAGCCTACCTCACCAATGACACACCAATGACCCACTATGCTCATTCACATCATTTAACAGGAGAATAATTTTTGGTATTTTTATTTTATTTTTTTAAGATTCAATTTTATGTTAAAAACATTTTGCCTGCATGTATGTATGTGTTGAAGGGTCCTGCTGCTTAAGGTTGCAGTCCACCACGTCCGGACAACTCTCTGAGCTTAACACCAACATATACTACTAGCTCTAGATTCTGCCTATCCCATGGTTCGTACTTGATACACAGAATATGCTCCCCTCATCTTCACTTGATCACACTTCTCATGGGAGCGTTCCTTCACTGGCCAATGGGAACATCAAGTTCCTTGTGCCGGTGCCGCTTGTCACACGGCCTGCACTGCTTAGGGACTGACCTAACTGG